TAATCTCGTGTGCAATCTACTTCTCGACTGCTCTCTCTCGCTAACAACTAACAAAACAGAGATTATCTCTCACTAATCACTAGTTAGTAAGAAATTAGTAGCATGGGGCGTGCGTGTTTCCTCATAATACGGTTTTCGGAAAATCCGATCAAGAATTGGAAGTGATGATGCCATCCAATTCTTGCATCACCGCCCCAATCTCCGGCCTGAGATTGGGCGACTCGTGAGTGCAGAGAAGAGCAACTTCACCTAACCTAGCAGCCTCCGATTCCTTAAAATTCCCAGCAAGACTTACGTCTATAAAGTCCTCAAATCTTGATATTCCCGCCCCGTGACAGTTTAACTGCGTGATTCTGCTTTTGCCAGATAAAATTTGGAATATTATCATTCCAAAGGCGTAGATATCGCTCTTTTCGGTGAATCGACCTGTTGTTGTGTATTCGGGCGCAAGGTAGCCCATTGCAGCACTTCCCTTGAGCGTCGAGAAAACTATATCGTCTGCTAATAGCTTGTGAATGCCCGAATCAGAGAGAAGAGGATTGTAGTGTTGGTCGATTAGAATCTTTTCCGCAGAAATGTTTCGGTGGACTAGTGTTGGTTTTCCGTTCTTGCTTCCATGCAAATACTCAATACCTGGTCAAGTAAAGGAAGAAGAGGAATATTAGTAACTAAGATATGCATGTACCGTAGTCTAATCTAAGATTATGCATAACTTTCTCATCCAACCACCGGTTTAGTTGATTCAGATTGGGTTAGAAACCCAATTCAAAGGACTACAATTTTGATGTTTCGAGTTTTCCGAAATTAGGGCGCCGTTCTTTACCTTAACATGAAATCTAAAAGACGAAATATTGTTTCATAATCTTAAGTTGTAAACTGACCTTTAGCAATTCCTCTGATTATAGATTTTCGAGTAGGCCAATCAAGAACCTTTCTACCACCTTCCTTCACATCAAGGTGCTGCAACAAGTTCCCGTTCGAAACAAATTCGTATATGAGAAAACACTCTCCTCTGCCCTTCGAACAACAAAACCCTCTCAACCTCAATAGATTCTCGTGTTTCAACGAGGTCAACACTTTCAATCCCTTAACGAATTCAGCTTCGTCCGATTTGCAGCTAACCTTCGAAACGCACTTAATCGCAACTATAGATCCGTCCCTCAACATCCCTTTATAGATAGCTGAAAAACCACTCTTTCCCAATAAATTCGTCTCCGAAAAGTACTGTGTTGCCGATTCCACTTCATCCAAATTGAACATGTAGCTTTCGAAAACCTCCTGTGAGAAACTGCTTACTTCATCCCGTTTGCCCAGTGGGTCCCACCCGTTCGAATACTCGAGACTAATAAGAGGAGAAGCACTTCGCCTACGTACCTCCATGACATCATCGGTGCTCAACCGGCTATCGCCATTATCACATGTGCTTCCGATTTTTTGTTTCTGACGGCGATGCCATGTGAATGTGAGAAGCCCTGCTACCGCCAGAGCGATAATTACTCCTGCCACTCCAACCACAACGGCAGATAGGGATTTTCTTGAATTATTCAGTTTGTTATCTCGGACATTTGCAGACTCGGGAATGTTTTTAGAAGGTAGATGGTTTGTGTCAGCTCCGAATGGTTCTGGTTTATTTGAATTTGGAGTGGAAGCAGAGCAAATTTGTAGAGAAGGGAAACCGGATCCACATAATTCTGCGTTGTTCGAATACTGGAAGCCTTCGTCGAGTTTCTTCAAGGCTGCATCATTACAGCAATCACAAGAAAAGAAACAAGGTTATCAGATTATTGACACAGAAAAGATTCTTGCAAATACCAAAAGAGAGGGACGCTGGCGTAAATTACCTAGAGGGACGTTGCCGGAAAGAGTGTTGTTTCGAATATCGAGAACTTTGAGCAGGGGTAGATCAGCCAATTTAAGTGGGATTGATCCAAACAGATGATTAAAGCTCAAATCCAATCTGTTTAATAATAATAATTCTCCTAAACTAGCAGGAATTGCACCACTCAACTGATTGGATTGTAGAGCAAGAACATTGAGTTTCTTTAGAGATCCAACCTGAGTTGGAATATTCCCACTTAACTTGTTGTAACATAGTTGCAACACTGCAAAAAAATATGTATATATATTATATAAATTATAACTAAATAATAAAATCATAGAAAAAACTATAAATATTAGGGTAAATTATGAAAACCCCCTTGAACTTAGGCTAAATAACGAAAGACACCCTCACCTATCCCTAATAACCAAAATCCCCCTCTGATTAACTGTTGATCGAGTTTTTTAACATAAAATATGTACGCTATATTATACCTTCTATTAAATAGGTGAGAAATAAAAGAAAATATCCGAAATTGTGTAACGTTTGTTCCCTATAATCAAAAAAGACGGAAACAAACCTCAAGAAGTTTTTGGTAATTACGAATAGGTGGGGTGTTTTTCGTGATTTAGCCCAAGTTCAAGGGGTTTTTTGTAATTTACCTTCAATATTACTATGCATGTAATGCTAAAGAATCAAAATCTAGAGAAGGGCATCAAGAATCACAAATTTATTATGCAACAAAAATCACAGATCCAATGACAATTTAACATGCATGATCTTGTATTCTCTTTTTTAGCCTTGAAATAAATTATAAATTTAAAAAAAAACAAAAAAAAAAACAAAAAAGAACTTCTTACCTTGCAAATTGGGCATAAGACCAATCTGAGGAGGAATATGACCGGAGAGGTTATTGACATTGAGGTACAAATCTGAGAGTTGAGTCAAGTTAGCAAGCTCCTTAGGTACAACCCCATGAAGCTTATTGAAGTGGAGGTACAACCCAGATAAGCTGTTGAGCTGGCCAATCTCAGGTGGGATTTGACCATAAAGCCCTTTGCCCTGCAAGGAAATGTTGACCACTTGACCATACTCATTGCAGGCGATCCCTTCAAATGAGCCATTGCATGGCTGAGTGGCATTGGGTGACCATGTTGTGAGAATCAGGTTTTGAGGGTCTAATAAAGATTTGATTTTTATTAGTAGAGAGAGAGATGTTGTGTTGGCTTTTGATGATGAGAGAGAAAGTGAGGCTGTGGTGGGTGGCAGAAATGGGAGGAGCAGTGTTATGTAGAGTGTGAAGAGGGAGATGGAAGCCATTTTTTTTTAGGTGTGGAGTGTGGGGAAAAGTTGGGTTCTTTATTGGTTCTCTAATGGAGCTACTGTGTGTGTTTTGGTGTGTGTTTTGGAGAGAGAAACAAGAGAGATTCTAATGGAGTATGGAGCTGAGTTACTTTGTGTCTGCTTGTTGGCAAAGATTGCTTCTTTGGTTCAAAATTATACTCAGTAAGGCACTGTGTGTGTGTTTCAGTGTGTGTTTTGGAGAGAGAAACAAGAGAGATTCTAATGGAGTATGGAGCTGAGTAACTCTGTATCAGTTTGTTGGCAAAGATGGCTTCTTTGGTTCAAATTAATATTCAGTGAGGCACTGTGTGTGTGTGTGTGTGAGAGAGAGAGAAAGAAAGAGGGGGAAAGAGTGTGTGTGTGTGTCTATGTGTGTGTGAGAGAGGGGGAGAGAGAGAGAGAGAGAGTGTGTGTGTTTGAGTGTGTGTGTGAGAGAGAGAGAGGAGGGTAGATCTTTGTCTGGTAGTGTTGGGACAGAATTTGAAATTGTAATAACCGGAAATACCGGTAGCCGGTTGTAATCACATGGCTTGTGACTGCTGCAGCCTTTTTAGAGTGTTTTATTTTCTACTGAAAAAGTGCTGCTTGTTATTGTACGATCATGTTCCCAATCTAAAATGTGATCCCCTTTTCTATTTTTTTTATTCCAATATTTTTAATATATATATGGTTACAAATTCAATGAGTAAATCGTATAAAATAAATAAAAAATCAATGAATAATAATTACAAATAATAAAGAAGTGAATGAAAAATCTAAGTCCAAGATGTGTATATACATCCTACTAGATTTATAGATCGAATTTCAAAAATATAATCTTGAAAGTTTAATTGGTTTTTTATTATTAAATCCAACATTAGAAACTATTTTTTAAATATTACAAAAAAAAAATATCATAAAAAACTATTTGTAGTATGTACCGTTGTTAGATATTTGAGCAGTTTTGAGATCTTATCCTTTAAAATAGTATGTTATTTTAAGTGGTGACGGCCCCAAAAAGATTCTTGATAATTTATTACAGATGTTTATGTAATAATTTTGAATCTTGTACTAGTTGTTCATCACAATAAATACTCATTTTCAAATTTCTTATTTCGAATATGAATATTAAAATCAACATGCATCTAACTTCCTTCTCAATTGATGGCCCTCCTATTTAATATTTATACTTTATTTACATAATAATACAGTTGAACCTCGATAAAAATATTCTTTGTCAGAACTTGGTAAAATTATATCAGTTCGATATCGCTAAATTAATGGATTTTTTGCTGATATAAATATTTTATCGTGTATTTTATTTTTCACTAGTTTAGCTAAATTGTGTCATAGTCAACATGTGATTTCTAGTGATAAAAACAAGTTAGTAATATTTAATTTATTTGATTTATAAAATATTGCAATTTATGTAAGATTTGTTGGAAATGTGAAAAGGTTTAAAAAGTTGCAAGAGATTCACGAGTGCCAATCTCCATCATTGTCAAAATGCATTTTACTATGCAACATTTTTTTAACCATTTTTTGTTTGTCTGATTTTTGTCCATATATACCTTATTTTGTTTGGATTCATTAGTAGAAAAAAGTTTAATCCTAGTGTCTGTAAGACTATTACTCCCTCTGTTTTTAATATGTGTTTTCATTTCACGAAAATAATTATTATAGACCAAAATATTCTTGTTTATTAATTAATTTAGTATTGGAATTGTAAAGTGACGGAACATAAAAAAATCTCGAGAAACGGAAGTAGTAATCAATTATGTTTGTTCTTACCTATCGCAATCAAGGTGACTTTAATTTAATTTGAGTGCCAAAATTTGATTCAATATTTGAACTTGTAAATAGATTCATTTAAAGAGTCACAAGTCTCACATTTCATCGTTTTATAATTATTGATGTTCTTTTATTTTCAAGTCCTTTAATTAAAGAATAAATAAATGAACATAAAAATATATTTTCATTTTCACATTGGAACAATAATAAATGAAGATAAAAAATGCATTTTTCGATTTTCTCCGATTTAGATCCGATCTTATTCAATTTTGAAACAATTTCATTCATAATTCCATTTCTTTTTCCTGATTCAGTTCTGATCATAATCATATATTAAATTTAATATACAATTAGCTCCCGATATCCGAAAACCCAAAACCCGTCTTTGCCTTTTACGTTGTAATTTGTATTGAGCATAGACCAAAAACTATAGTACACAAAACAAACAACCACGAAATTGGGATTACATGAAGAACTAGGCCGACCTTCTTTGTTGTTTGTGAGTTTGGCCGAATATAGTTTCAAACATCGGGAAAAAACAAAAACCGAAAATCGAACTGTATACAATTTTTGTTGTCGATTAAAAAATCCGAAAACCAATAACACGATTAGTAGCGTGCTTGTTTCCTCTTCTGATCCCACCAACTATGAGTCTATGACAATTAGTCAAAGTGAAAAAGACTGAAATATCCTGCAAAGTAAAATTTTCAAAATTACACATTTACCCCGGAATTTTATAAGCCCAAACTGAAATTTTCAGAATTTTCAGTTCAAACCCAATCTCATTGGCCCAGGTCCCCAATTGACATCCAATCTCCAATTTCATGTTTTTCACCCGACCCGACCCGACCCGACCCGACCCGACCCGACTCACAGTCAAAGACCCGACCCGCGAACCCTCACAACCAGAACCAGCTTCAAAGCGTAGATGTGGGTTTCTTCAATCACCGGCGCTGGCTTACGAATTCTGTGCAGCCGCCTTGTCAAATTCCGATACTCAAAGCTGATGGAGAGTCGCCGGAATTTCACCGCCGGAAATCCCTCTTTCACCGCCACCGCACATTCTAACACCAGGTCAATTTCTTACCCTCTCTTTTAATTTAAATCTCTGCCGAATTTCTCTGTTTAGCCAATTTTTTTTCTTTTTGCGGCTAATACTTGTCGGTAATTTGTAGCAGTAGTGGTGGTGGTAGAGGAAGAGGAGTGGAAATGAAAGATAATCGGCATAGATCAAGAGGTAGAGGCGGTGGTGGCGGTTCTTCTGGGAATGATAAAATTGACGCTCTTGGCATATTATTGTATGCACCTGTGTTTCTACACTTTATTCCATTTTTTTTAGAATTTTTTTATTCTCAATCTATTGCAATAGACTAATAGACTGACATTGGAAGAGAAAGAAATATAAATGCTGGAAAACAAAAAAACCGATTCAACATTGAAAAATAAAGACTTTCGAACTGAACTCGACGGATTTATAAACGTTGGAAGCGAGACTCGTTTTGAATTTTGAAATGATTTTTGTGTAGCCGAAAATTTATGTTCGTGTTTCTTCAGTTATTGTTGTTTGCCTTCATGTAATGCTTATTGTTATACTAATACGGCAAAAAGGAAAGACTTAGTTCGATTGGGTTTACTTTATAGCCCGATCGGTTAATGCGCAGATGTAAGATAGATTCTAAGTTTGCGATTGAATATAGTTGAAATATGTCGAACTTTGATTAATTCGGAGTTGCTCGTTATTTTTTGTTTAAATATTTCAGAACACGTGTATTGAGACACATGGCTTCCGAGTTGAAATTAGATATGAGGAGTGACGGATTTATCAAAGTCGAAGACCTGCTGAAGTTGAATCTGAAAACATTTGCTAATGTTCCCCTACGATCACACACAATTGACGATGTCAGAGAGGTTTGAATCTCGCTTTTCTTGTTTTTATCTACACATGTTTTTCTTAAGTCGGTTCTTTGACTTTCCTTTACTAGTTTAATTTACGTTTGACGATATTGTTGGGTGATTTTTATATGCTAAAATAGGCTGTAAGAAAAGATAACAAGCAGCGGTTTAGTCTTTTGGAAGAGAATGGAGAGCTTTTAATACGTGCCAACCAAGGTCACACTATTGCGGTAATATCTATGCTTTCTCTTTTACTCGTCCGATGATCTCATTGCTTTGCTGTTTTACTTTTCCGGAATGTTTTCGGAAAAAAGAAAAAAAACGGAACACTTTGACACGCAATGTTATGCAATTGTCCTGGGAATTCCGTAATGTTTCATTGACCGAAGCATTTCATGGTTTTGCCTTATTCTTTTTGAACTTTTGACAGACAGTCGAAACAGAGAGCTTACTGAAACCTATACTTTCACCTGAAGAAATCCCGGGTTAGAATTTAACCACCAGTTTTTTTTTTTTTTTTTCGTCTTTTCTTTTTAATTATCGAAAAGAGTAGTGAGTTGTTTTACATCTTTGATGAATCTGTTTACACTGCATGATTTTGTGCGGCAGTTTGTGTGCATGGGACCTACAAGAAAAACTTGGAATCGATTCTAGAGGGGGGTCTAAATCGTATGAAGAGATTACACGTGCATTTTTCTTGTGGCCTCCCCACAGATGGAGAAGTTATTAGCGGTAAGATTTTCGAATGGTGGAATCATAAATTAAGATCTGTCGTTTATATTTTATTATTAAATCAACAAATTGTGTGTGATATGATTTTTTCAGGTATGAGACGAGATGTCAACGTGTTAATCTTTCTCGATGCAAGAAAGGCTTTGGAAGGTATTTTAACCACAAAAAAAAAAAAAAATCACGAATGAAAAGTTTTTCGTGTGGTTTTTTTATGTTGCTTCTCACTTAATTTTGTTATCGTCTTGTATTCAGAGGGAATGAAGCTGTACGTATCAGACAACAAGGTGATTCTAACAGAGGGTTTCGATGGGGTAGTCCCTGTCAAGTATTTCCTCAAGATTGAATCATGGCCACGCGGAGAAATTATACCGTTTTAGTCCGCAAATTCGGCAACTATTACTTTAAATTTATAATTTTATTTTATTTTTTACGGTTTTGTTTTTCTGTATTTATTAAAATCAGTGGGAGTCTCGAAGAAAAAATAAAGACCGTTTCGCCCCCGGCTATATCCAATGTAATATTTTTAGTCGGCGATTTTGAGGGATTCGAAAATTGGACAAGTGTGTTGTATTATATCCGTGTGTCGAATATTTGAATATGGAATATTACCACAGCTGAACCAAATGCTTTGATTGAAATGTCGTATTCGACATCCGACGAGTCGAGAACTAATTCTGTTTTTCGGTAATTCCATTCCTCGTCTGCTAAAATTCGACTGTCGTTAAGAACACCTGAAATTGTTGTTCTTACAAGAGATTTTTTTTTTTCTCAATGATACTGATTAGTTAGTCAATTGATTAACTAAAATAACTAACATCGACAGAAATCATCGATTTAGCTATAGATAGCAACTGTTAAACACCTCATTTAGTCAATGAAAAAAAAAAACTCGAGAGTTACTTTCGGGATCGATTATTTCCACAAAGATGGACTAAACATCTCATTTAGTCGATGAAAAAACAAATCGAGAGTTACTTTCGGGATCGATTAGTTCCACAAGGATGGATTAAGAGAGTGTTTCGTTTTTCATCATTCCTCTGCATTTGGACTATAGTTCGACACCATGATGATTAACCACAACATACGTATGGCTTTTCTTCTTCACAACAAGATGGGTAAATTCAAATAAACGGGATCTATATACGGAATACCTAATCCAATTCGGATAAAGTGGTCATTAAACGGTTTCCTGCAAAATCGTGATCGTACTTAACTGCATTTATATCATGTTCGAAGGAATGAAAAAAAAAACACTAACACGTCTCATATCAAGATTCATTACCGTAAGTAGTGTAATAAGAGAGCCGATAAACTTGGTTCCAACAACGCACTCGATACTTTGAATCAGCAATTGAAGTTACAAATACCTTACAACAAAAGTACATCAAAGTAAATTAAGAAAAAAAAATCATGTGCTATTATTAATCGAATCGAATTCCGATAATACACGTTGGTCCATCAATAAAGAAAAATCGATCTATCTGTCACAAAATTCTACAATCATAAAATACAACAACAAAAGTTCGGTTACTGGTTCTTGTTCTTCATCGTGGGATCATGAACATAAACGTAAGAAAAAAATAATGTGGATGAACAACAAAAATATATTTAAAAAGAAAAAATAAAATCACAAGAATCGAAAAAACGAACTCAAGAATATCGGGATTGTGAAACAAAAAAAGAGAACCCGTATCACTGCGCAGCTTTCTTGCCGTTCTCGTAATAACTAAGGTACCATTGCACAAACTTCTTCAACCCTGTCTGAAGATCGGTACTCGGCTTATAACCAATCTCCCTTTCAGCCAAACTTATATTCGCATGCGTAAACTGCACGTCTCCGTTTCTCGGCAACTTCATAACCAACCTCTTCGCCTTCACCTTAAGCAACTTCTCCAAAATACCGACAAGATCCGAAACCGGAACCGGCGAAGTATTCCCCAAATTGAAAACCCTCAATTGAGCCACCCCTTTTTTCTTGCCACCGCTCCCCGTACTTTTTTCGGCAGTATCCAACGCGCCCAAACAGCCCTTCACGATATCGTCAATGTACGTGAAATCTCTAGCCACAGTCCCGTGATTGGCCGCCTCGAAAATCGGAATCGATTTTCCTTTCAAGATATCTCTCGTGAAGAAGAAGTACGCCATGTCGGGCCTTCCCCACGGCCCATAAACGGTGAAGAATCTCAGCCCGGTTAAGGAGAGCCCGTATATGTGGTTGTACGTGTGGGCGAATTCTTCGCCGGCTTTCTTCGTGGCGGCGTAGAGGCTGGCCGGTTGGTCGGTTCGGTCCTTCTCGGAGAAGGGCACTTTAGTATTCAACCCGTAAACGGAACTGCTGGACGCCCATACGATGGCGGGCTGAGGGTTCGCGTTCTTGCAGACTTCGAGGATGCTGACTAGGCCCGCTATGTTGCTGTGCACGTACGAGCCCGGATTCTCCATCGCGTACCGGACGCCGGCCTGCGCGGCGAGGTGCATTACGTGTGTGAACGGGACAATGTCGAATAGCTTCGACACCAAAACGGCGTCGTTTATATCGCCTTCGACAATGTAGACCCCACTGCGCTCCAATAGGGCCTGCCGGGCCCGCTTCAGGGACGGGTCGTAGTAGTCGTTGAAATTATCGAGGCCCACGACGCCGTCGCCGCGGCGTTTCAGGGCGGCGGAGACGTGGGTTCCGACGAAGCCGGCGGCGCCGGTGACGAGGACGGAGATGCCGGTTCTGGACCGGATTTTGGCGGAGGCCCGGACCCGCTTTTCGAAGTTCGGGCCGGCGTAGGAGCTCGTGCGGAGGGATCTTCTGGAGAGATCTGAGGGGAGGGATGAAGAAGAAGAAGAAGAAGATGGAGATGGGGATTTGAAGAAGAAGAAGTAGATCAGTACGAGGAAGAAGAGAGACCAGAAAGTGAGCTTGGCTAAGGAAGAATGGAGCCTCAGACGGTTGTAAGGAGATTTCTCCATCTTGAATTTGCCTGGCGTTGATGGTGCGCTGTCAATGTGCTGCTTCATCTCTTCTCTAAATGTAAATGTAAAATCTTTCTTTTCTTTTTTTTTGAATTGAAATCAAATCCCACTAAATGAAAAATGCAATCTTGGAAGGAAAAATTCGAAGTGCCAGATTAAATCCCACTAATTTAAAAAATGCAATCTTGGAAGAAAAAATAAAAATGCAATCTTGCAAGGAAAAAGTCGAAGTGCCAGATTAAATCCCACTAATTTAAAAATGCAATCTTGGAAGAAAAATCGAAGTGCCCACTTGAAAATTTTCGTCAAATTTATGTAAATTTGACCTTTTCTTGGGTTTTCTTGAAATGGTAGTGGAAAATGGAATCAAGATTGGATTTTTTTGCTTTGATGAATGTGGGTTCTTCTTTTTTTCAACGAATTGATGAAAAAAAAGAAATCTTGAGTTTTTTTTTTGCTTTGGGGGTGGTGGGGTGGGGGTGGGGTGGGGTGGGGGGGTGGTCTTTTCAATTTCTTGGAGAAAAGAACGAAATGGAGAGAGATCTGGTTGAAGGGAATAAGAAAGAGTGGAAAGAGGGGTGGATGAATGAATGAACAAGATTGGGGAAGAGGGAGAAGAATAAGTTTTGAAGAAGAAGAAAAATTTAATA